TAAGATGTGGCTGTGGCTTGCTCTCCTTCTCTGATCTTTCAGCTTTCACTCCAATATCTGGCTCAAGGTTTTTTTTATTATAAGACCAATTTGATTTTGAACAACAGATCTATGTTTTGGAACATCATGAATGTAACCTTGTTTACAAAATTCTGTATAAATAAAGAAGCACTCTGGCTGCTAGTCAGTCAGGCTGCAAGATTCACCCAACCATCATGCCTGGCTCATTCCTTCCCCTGACAATTCTTGACCTCCTCTGCAGGGACCTTTCCAATGCCAGGGATGGCTCCCGGCAAAGAACAAATAGCAAGAGGTGTTTTCCTCTAAAAGCAGAATATTAAATATAAATGGCATCAATTCTGCTTCAACAGGCAAAATGGCTCTAAAATCGAACTACAAAGTGGGAGGGTGGAAGGCTCTTGTCCTGAGATAGTGATAAAGTTGTAGCTGAGAGGGTGTGTATCTCACAGAATGGAACAGGGCATTAGTGGAATACAACATCTAACACCAGGTCATCTGGGGCTTTGTTGCTAACAATACTCCCAGGAGGTGCAAGAGTCTCACCTGCTCCTCCAACAGAGCACACCTGTTTAATTGCATGCCTCCAGCCCTAGGTCTCTTCTCATAACTGAGGGTACAGAGGAGGATGTGCTGCTACTGTGGGCCTGAAAACACTAAAATCAGAAACTCAGTCCCTATCTGCCTAGAAATTGTCCTGAGAGACCATAGATAGCCTGTCACCTGGAGAGAAAAGGCCAGTTGCTCCTAAAGCATGTGAGTGTGAGAGTATATAAATTTAGTTCTGATACATGCTCCAAAGACCTCCTGGTGAAGGTGTGGTCCCCAGATGTTCTTGGAAATTGGTGGGATTGGAAGAGTTGGGGACCTCTGGGAGGGTACAGATCATTGGCAGCATGACCTTGAAATGAACTTGGACCCTGGTCCTTCCTCTACCTCTACTTTTCCCCAGACATTGGACATCAGCTTTGTTCCATCATGCTATGCATCACAGGCCTAAAACAATGGCACATAGTGGGAATGGGATGTAATTTCTCAAGCTGTGAGCCAGATAACCTTTCCTCCTTCTAAGCTGATTCTTTTTGGAACTTGGTCACAGCAATGGAGAACTGACTAGTGCATTGGGTTGAGTTCTTTTTGCCTCTCAATCTGAGGGTTATATCCCTTCAAGAAGGAAATAGAGAGATTTAGGGAGACAGAGAGACAGTGGTCCTTCTCATTGCCTGTGACCTTTGACACTGTTGTTAATACTATATTTAAAGTGTTGAGCTTTACTTAGACAATGGAGAGAGCCTGAAACAGGCAGCCAGGTGGCCCAATGTCTCAAACAGGGAGTAGAACACAGTTCTATGTACCAGAAAGAGCTGCTCTGACTTCTCTCAACAGCCATGCTGAAGATCCCACTTTGGAGATGGAAAACCACTGCTGAAGGGGGGAAGACCCCTCAGACAGCTGACTGGGTCAGGCTGAGACCAGGCTGACAGGCCTACTTCCAGAGAGTACATTTGTTTGCCAGCAACACTGGATTACAGCTCTATGAAAACAAATCCCAAGTGGCTTCTCCCAGGAGATAGTGTCAGTGAGTCCTGACAGTGTAGCTGAGGACTGAGCCGTGGTATGGGCAGGGGACAGCACCAACCTCCCAGGGCCCTGCCAGACATTAATGATACCATCTCTCCCAGAACAAGATGGCATTCCATGAAGGACCAAGGAGGGTCATTGGTCTCAACTTGGCCCAAGCAAAGTGAACAGTAGACCCGTATCAACATCCTGCCCCAGGAAGGTCAAGGAAGCCACCATCTGCAGGGGATGTGACATAAAGCAGCAGCCCTCAGATGGACATGGGTCATACCTGGTTTTTCTCTCCTAGGTTAGACTCTCCATTGGTCAATGGGTCACTGGATGAGGCTAAGAAAGTAGAGCTTCCGATTTCTTCTGTACTGAGGACCATATTTGATTTCTGCTTCCTGTTGGGTATTCTGTTGGAAATGGGGATTATAAATTAGAAAGGTTTTAAAACCAATTTTCTAGACTTTAGCTAAGATTGACACATATCAGAGACAACAGTATTACAACCTCCATTCCTTCCCTACCCACCTCAGGGGTCTATACTTCCCATCAACATCACCCTATCATCTCACCTTATAGAGGCAGGTGTTTATTTCTGATGTGGACGGGGATCGTGAAAGGGGAGTAATTCTAAATGCACTCAGGGAAGCTGTTAATCTAGAACATTCTTCAGACACAGCTCTCCTTCCCCTGCTTTGGAAAGACCTCATATTACAAGGGGTCCCAGGCTCCATAGTGAATACCCTTTACTCTCAGATTGACCCTCATCTATTGGTTCATGGCTTTCTTGGGTAGTCTCACTGCACAATCAAGGGATATCACTGGTCCCCAGGCTTGTGCCCCATTACCAAAGACTCCTAGTGACCAGTCAAAAAAGGATAAGGGAGTCTGTTCCTTTTCTGGTATATAAGCCCTATGTTCTGTCTGCAAATCACAAGCATGTACAATTCTCCTGAATCACCTTTGAGACTTGGTGGATTTCAGGAACAGAGCAACCTCAAGGATCACACCCTCCTCTGTTCATTCAGTGCCATGGGCAGCCAGCTGCACTGTCAACCTGAGGTGAGTGCATCTACCCATCTAGATCTTGGTCCAGTCAAGCACAAGCTGCTCCCAGCACTAGATCTACCCTAATTTGCAGGGGAGCTACAGGATACCCTGCTTCCTGTCTCCTCACATCCTAACTCTTTCACACTACAGATCCCATTGCACAGAGACCATCAGGACAGCTCCACCCCATTTCATGCAGACTCCTGCCTCACTGGAAGTTCAGGGTCAGGTTCACACAAGTAACCAGGTGTGGTAGGCTCTAAGCATTCCTATCCAGGCATACCTGTGCCCATTTGTGCTGTCCTTGGGGTGGTTGGCTACACTTTCACTCTATAGTAGGCAGTGGGCATTTGCCAATGGCCCTCATGTGTCATATACCATTTATTATGGACAAAGATCCTAATGGCAGGGTTCCCCTGGGTTTCTGTCCTGATAGAAAAGCATCCTGAGCCCAGTTGGAAACAAGAGCAGCATGGGAATAGGATTCAGCCCTTTCACTGTGAGAACCCCTAACCACCCGCTATCCTGCCTGTCCAGGAGTGGAAGCCTTCCCAGGCCTGTCAGGGTGTTACAGTGCCTGTTGAGAGACTCAAGAGCCCTTTCTTCTCCCAGGTTCATGCCCTCCATGTCCCCCCTGCAAATGAACCTTTGAAATGGAAGGTCTGTGGGACACCCTGCACTCTGAGCAGAGGTAGGTCTTCAGACCACCCAGGACATCTGTCTGGGGACTGGGTAGACCCTTGGTATGTACATTTCTCTACACAGATCCTCTGTCAGCCCTTCCAGCAGGGTCCCCAAAGGAGCCTCCTGCCTGCATTTCTTAAGGCATCCTCCCACCCCTAAAAAGAGACCTCTATCTGCTTTCCCATGGGTTCCTGGCCATGCAGCAGGGGATCTGAAACCTCTCTTCTATTCCTTAGCCCAAAACTCCAGATATCCCTGAGACCCCACACTCTCCTGCTACCTCCAGACAGACATATTGGGATTTGTGAGGATGTTTCAGACTGTCTCCTGAAATCAGCAGCTGGGTGGGACCCACGGTGTCTAGCCTAGTATCCCTGCCTGTGCTGTCACTGATCCTCTTATTTTAAAAGCACCAAGAAGTCATCTACAATGTCCCCCAGAATCATCCCTAGCCCTGCACAGAATCCTGTGCTGTACTCACCACGCTGATTCACTCCTCAGCAATACAGTGAGCAGTTTCCAGGGCTCAGACCTCTTTAAACAGTGCTGGCTCCTCCCCTTCCAAGGGAGAATCGAAACTTAGAGAAAAATTGCCAGAGCTTACTGCCCAACCCACCCCCTCCACACACAAAATGAACTCAGAAATGAAACTCACACTCAGGGGCCTTTGGCCAGGTCCTAAGTTCTGGAAATTGCATATTTTGTGCTCAACCAAGACCTGCTATATGGATACCAGCTTGGATGGCTGCCTGCTTTCCCTCAGGACCAGCCCATTACTGTAAGGCACCTTTTCCCTAGGCCATTGCAGCTACATCAGAAAGAGGCAGAGATAAAACATATTAGCAATCACTAGGAACCCTGCCAGATCCTCTGGGCGACTTCTGACAGCAGGTCCTAAGGGCTGAGCACACTACTCCTGCAGGACTGGTGAGGGTGACAATTGCTGGTCTTCATGGAGAAAGGGGACACTACCTGAGTGTTCCTGCACCTTTTACCTGTATTCAAAGCAGAGCCCTGCTCTGCAGAGAACCTCACCCAGCTCAGGGAAGTAAGTGCCTTTCCTCCTCAGAACCTAGGGACTGGATGCTGCAGCCCTTTCCCTGAGCTGCCTGTCCTGGGAACTGGCAAGACAGACACCAGGCTCCCTTTGTGTTCCCTAAGGAGCAGAGCCCTGTCACAGGGTCTTGACCTCTGTTTCCAGGCTGAGAGCAGGGTCTGTGGCTAGCACCTAGTCCATGCTGGTAGGGCTTGTAGGCAGGATCAAGCAGTTCCTGATGTACAGTGATTCTGTGGCTCTAGAATGCATAGTGATGGGGACAGCAGATTCAGTGACCTCAGATGATGTCACCCTGTACTCAGCTTTGTTTTGCTCCCTTCCTTCCTATTCCCTCCCTCTCACTACCTCCAGTCTCTCTTTTTCCTGCTCCCTCCTCCTCCCCCCTCCCTGTTCCATTTCTCTGTCAGCTCAGATTTAGTTTCAGTTTCATTTCTCTGGGTCTTAGAAAATTAATTCAGTCTGTGCAGAGAAACAGATACAAAGCTAGGTCCAGGAGAAAGCTGGAGGGAATCTGGGTGAGTGGGAGGTGCCTCAGGGAGGAGACAATGCCTAGAGGAGGGGCAGCTGTGGGGTCAGTGGGCAGTGCTGGCAGGAGGAGGCCTGGGAAGGGTATGTGGCAAGGAACAGGAAGCCTGGACACAGGAGAAAGAACTGAGCTGGACTGGAATGGTGGGTGGCCATAGAACAAGGACCTGCCTAAGGCTAGGTCCCCCTGCACTCTGACTGCCATGCTGCAGGAGCCTCCACACTGTTTTGCTGGTGCCCAGGCCTGAAAGGATTACAGAGCAAACCCAGATCTCCACAGCTTAGACTCTGCCCTTGCCTCAGGAGAAGTCCCTCTGCTCCTGGGCCTGCTTCCTGGACTAGGCCTGTGTGTTTTCTCTTCGTGTATGTCACCTCTTCCCAGAGGTGGCTGTGTTTCATGCAGGGTGTTTGGACTGAAGAAACGTTTCTGAGGACCCAGCAGACAGGCATAGATGCAAGTGTGCTCTGGGTTTACATTAGAGGAGGCCGGGAGCAAAGGCATTGGGGGCAAGAGGACTTGGAGACCAGAAGACAGTCCTTAGCCAAAGCTCATTTCCAGCTTCCTGACAGGAAGGGAAGGTGTGGTGCCCACCGTGTCCTGCTCTCTGGTCATCGTTTCCAGTTACCAAACACATTGCTGGAGAGAGCAGGTGAGCAGCTGATTGCTGTGGTGGTTTGGATGAGATGCCCCCATAGTCTTGGACATTTGAACACCTGGTCCCCAGTTTGGGTATTTTATGAGGAGTGATATTGCTAAAGGAAATATGTCACTGGTGCAGGCTTTGAGAGTTTAATGACTCATGTCATGTCTAGTTCACTCTCTCTGCTTTCTGCTTTTAGTCCAAGGTGTGAGATTCAGCCTGCTTGTTGTTCTAGTACCTTCTGCCTCCACCTTCCATGCTGGACTCTTATCCTTCTGGAACCATAATCCCATAAAACCCTTCCTTCCTCAAGTTGCCTTGGTCACGGTACTTTTTGTTTTGTTTGAGACAGGGTTTCTTTGTGTAGACCTGGTTGTCCTGGAACTTGCTCTCTATTCCAGGCTGGCCTCAAACTCACAGAGATCCAGTGACTTTTCCTCCTGAGTACTGAGATTAACGATGTGTATAACCATGGACCAGCCATGGTGTTTTATCACAGCAATAGAAAAGTAACTAAGACACCAGCAAGAGGGGAAATCTCTGCTATAATTTTCAGATGCTTTGACCAGCTGCCAACCTACCCTGCAAAGTGGAAGCATTGTGCTGTAGCTCTTTGTGGCCCACAGAGCTGGTCACTGCTGGACTCACCAGAGCAGCATTTCTAGTGTGAGCTGAGACCTGTCACTGCAGAGGTGTCCTCCTTTTCCTTCTGAAACAGAAGTACAATCTTCGCCTTGAATAAAAAAAAAATAGATAATAAAGGTAGGATGTCACTGTTTCTAGGTATAGAGGAGAAGAGAGTTTATTACAGATAAAAGGGAGAGCATAGGCAAAGACAGGGATATCTGTGAGAGTCCAGGATGAACACATCCTGAGCCATGTGAGGAAAGGGGGGATGGGAGAAGAGCTGATGACCAAAAGGGGTGGCCTGGACCAAGAGACTGGCCAAAAGACTGGCAGAGACAAAATGGCTGAGTTATAGAGGAGCCAGAGGAGCTGGGAGAAGGGTAGCCCAGCCTAATACTTGGGCTGGACAGTTCAGGGTTGGGGCAGGGTATGCCAACGAGGAGGGCACTCTAATAGGTAGAGACTGAGGGATGCTGGGAACACCTCATGCCCAGTGTCCAATTTTATATGTTAATGGGTACTTCAGGTAGCCATTTCTCCCAGGTTTGATACCTAACATCCCAGCCTTTTTTGATAATAAATAAATGGTAAGGGTGCTGGGAACCACAAAAAATATGAAGTAGGACTTTATATGAATATGGAAAAAGAAAATACCTGGAAGAAGCCAAGAACCTTCCAGAGGTAAAGCCAAGACTCAAGGCATCTTGGTGATGTTAACTCTTGGATATTAGCCACTTTCCTGCAATGAAATTTCTTGCATGCTATTGTGGCTCTTCCATTCGAATCCTTTTTTGGGGGGAACAGTGTGTTTGATCATGCATTGGGCACAATTTGCCCTCTAAAATGGAATATTTTGATAACCTTCTGTGCTGACAGCAGTAATGCCACCAGAACTAAATTTCAAGCTTCTATGTAACTAATGTCATTAGCAACATCCAGCCAGAACCATCTCTGGACCAAAGTATCTTAGCTGCGAAATGCTCCAGACTTTTTAAGAACAGACCATCTGTCAGAGAAGGTAAAGATTTACACTGACTATTGCCCAGGCATGATCGATGTGCTAATTAAGTGCGAAATTTTCCTTTATGAATATTATCTCTAGTTCCAGATCACCCTTTAACAATTAACAGGTGCACCTAGCTGTACACAGGTTGCCTAGCCCCTGAGTGCACTCCCCTGCCCTGGCAGGAAACAGGTGGCGGCTGAGATAGCTGGACAGATAAGGAACCAAAGGAAAATAAGACAATTTCATTTTCACTTGTCACTGATAGACTCCTAACACTTTACTTAACCACTTCTAAAAATATAGTTTGCACACATAAAATCCCCTTTGCTTAGATTTTAGCTAAACTTAACCCCCAGATGTTTCATTTTCCCATTAGTCACTTCCCTTTTGAGTTGCAGGTGATGGTTGACAATTCCTGTTCTTTTGTATGGATCTTATTGGCCCTCCTTTTGACCCTGAGGGAATTCAAGCCTGGTGACTTTGCCTTAGCCAGAGCATTGCTATTGCGTGGGTATATAACTGTAAACCTCAGAGACTTGAGAAGACTAGATTGCAGGAGGAGAAGAGAGAACTAGAAGAATGAGATGGAAGATGAGGAAGAGCTAGGTGGGAAAGAACAAGATGAGGAAGAACAAGTTGAAAAAGGATGAGATGGGAAAGGAGCTAAGATGGGAAAGAACTAGGTGGACGAGAACCTAGATGGGGCAGAACTAGTCCCTTGATCTTGATTTTCAGTATGAATACAGTATGAATATGGTGAAAGCTGGATCTCTTCCCTCTTTCTGGAAGACTGGAAATATTTAGATTACATAGACATTTTTAGCACACTGAGAAGCACTTTTAAGTCTATACTTAGAAGACAAGCAAAGGAAATTTAAAATCTTGAGCTTGTGACTATGATAGTAGCAGTGCTTTACCAGAGCTAGATTAATAGCTTATCAAAACTCCATTGTTAATTTAAATCTCTACACTTTAGACGCCTCTGTATAACAACAGCATAGCAAGGGAACAATTCTGAAGCATATTCATTTTTTAAAAAATTAAGTAAATATGGACGGGCGGTGGTGGCACACGCCTTTAATCCCAGCACTTGGGAGGCAGAGCCAGGTGGATCTCTGTGAGTTCGAGGCCAGCCTGGGGTATAGAGTGAGTCTCAGGAAAGGCACAAAGCTATACAGAGAAACCCTGTCTCAAAAAACCAAAAAATTTAAAATGTTTCTGCATTGGTGTTTTTGCTGCATGTACGTCAGTGTGAGGGTGTGAGATCTTGGAGTTACAGACAGGTGTGATCTGCTTTGTGGGTGCTGGGAATTGAACCCAGGTCCTCTAGAAGAGCAGTCAGTGCTCTTAACTACTGTGTCATCTTTCTAGCCTCCATTTTTCATTTTTATATACCTTAACTCACTTCCTTATACCTTGCATTTACACACCTTAAGTCACTTTCTTATCAAAACTTAAGCTTTCACATTCTCAGAACTTACATAAACTTTATACCTTTTTCCTGTTTCACCATTAACCACGAGATACAGGTGGTTGATTACTGGGAGCAGTTATTGTAAAGTGAGATCTTTTAATAAAGGAATAGTAAAAAGTTACTTTGAAATCTGTTTTGTGAGTTTATCTCTTTTCTGAGTCCGGTAACAAGGTAAACTGTGTCTAGACCTAGTAGTAGCTCTAGGAAAGTGAGTCCTGATTTTTACACATGAAGAGAACTGAGGAGGCAAATGAAGCTTTGCTTGCTACTGTTAAACTGGCAAAACTATCATTAGCCTAGTTGTCAAAACCATCAGAGATCTGAGAAGGATAAATTCTACCAGAGTAAGCAGGAAGTAAAGACTAAACAGCTTCTGAATCTATTAAAAAATAATAGACTTGACAGAATCTGCCAACTCTGATTGGACCAAGATGTGAGTGACTATTCTCCCACCCACAGAGTCCTCTAGGACCTAGGTCCTGGTGCACAACATGTGTTCTCCACCCTATCCATCACTGTGCCAGGTGCAGGCCATCAGGGAGGACTCCTGCAGGTAGGCTTCCCTACCAACACCCCCTTCGGATGCTGCAATCTACAAGGCTCACTCCCTATGCCAAAACCATCCACCACTGTGACCTCAGTACTTCCTAAGACACAGAATCCACCAGTTCTGATTGGATCAAAAGTGGCCCCCTGAGAAACAGACACAGCAAGCACAGATTGGACCAAGAGCACTTCCCTCAGACACAGACACCTCTTGTACTTATTGGAGGAAGAAATGGGTAGATGCCAATGCAAAAATAAATACAACAACATAAAGGGCAATATGGCACCACCAGAACCTAGTGATTCTACAACAGTAAGACCTTATCATCACAATGTAGAAGAGGCAGAAGAAAGCGACCTTAAAAATAACTTTATGAAGATGATAGAGGCCTTTAAAGAGGAACTGAAAGATTCCCTTAAAGAAATTGAGGAAAAGACAAACAAAAAGTTGGAAGAAATCAATAAATCACTTAAAGAAAGCCAAGAAAATCAAGAAAAAGAAATTAAACAGGTGAAGAAAATAGTTCAACACCTGATAATTGAAATAGAAACAATGAAGAAGACACAAACTGAGGGAATGCTGGAAATAGAAAATCTGTGTAAATGAACAAGAACTACAGGTTCAAGCACAACCAACAGAATACAAGAGATGTAAGAAAGAATCTCTGCAATGGAGGGTACAATAGAGGAATTAGATTCATCAGTCAAAGAAAACACTAAAGCCAAAAAAGTCATAACATAAAACATCTAGGAAATCAGGGAAACCATGAAAAGACCAAATCTAAAAATAATAGGGATAGAAGAGGGAGAAGAATACCAACTCAGAGACACAGAAAACTTATTCACAAAATCATAGAAGAAAATTGTGGTGATACTTTATTTGTGCTGAAATGTGGTGATATTTCATTTGTATGTTAATAAATAAAGCTTTCCTGGAGATCAGGGGGGAAAGGCCAGTCATTTTAAGTAAACAAGAAGTCAGGCAGCACATGTCCTTAATCTCTTAGCAGGCAGGATCTCTGTGTGTTCAAGGCCACACTAGGGAACAGAGCCAAACATGGTGACACATGCCTTCAATCTCAGTACCAACCATAGAGACCTAGAGGTCTGTACAGACAGATGTTAACTGACAGAGCTGTGTAGAAAAAGGAAGTGAGGTAGCTGGGCTAAGATAGCCAATGAGAGGGCAGAATACCAAGGCAATAAAGGCATGGGCAGACAAGAAGTAACTCGCATTTGTAAACTTCAGAGTTGGTGAGGTAAGGTTGGCTGGTGGCTTTTCCTATTTCCCTGATCACCCTAAGGCTTTCACCCCTATATTTGGCTCCATGTTTTTTATTTAAAAAGACCATTTGG